TTATTTGCTTAGTTACAGACTGAATAAGTATAGGAAATGATACACATCATTACTGGTTTTAAACTGTGAAGTATCCACTTGTTCTGTTCAAACCACTGCTTCTCTATGTACAGGTTCCTTATGAGCAAAATTAAGTGTTCTGTAATTCCTACTTTTCACAATGTTATCTATCTATCTATCTATCTATTTTAATGATCTACATAGTTGAATACCTTTACATGGTCGATAAAACACAGCTAAACATCCTTTGCATAGTCTTTATTTTCAGCCAAAATCCATCTGACACGAGCAATGATATCCCTCATTCCGTGTCCTCTTCTGAATATGGTTTAAGTTTCTGGTTGTTCCTAATTGAAAAACTGTTGCAATCTTTTTTTTTTAAATATCTTTAATATCTTAATATATTTTTAATATCACACATAAGCAAAAATTTACTTATGTGTGATATTAAATATATTATTTGATAATTTCTGCATTCTTTTGGATCACCTTTTTTTTTTAGAATGGACACAAATATGTATCTGTTCTAGCTGGTTGGTTAACTAGCTGTCTTCCAAATTTCTTGGCATAAATAATTAAGCACCTCCATCACTGCCACAAGGAGCTCTGATGGTGTAGTGCCAAAGGCATTTGACTGCTAACAAGAAAATTGGCAGTTGAAAACCACCAGCCACTCCACAGAAGCAAACTGGTTAATCACTTCCATAAAGATTTACCACTTCAGAAAACCAAAGGAGGTAGCTATGTGTCTGAATTGATTGTTTTTGTTTTTATCACTACCACCATTTGTTGAAACATCTCAATGGGTATTCCATCAGTTCCTGAAGCCTTGTTTTTCACCAATGCTTTCAGTGAAGCTAGGACTCCTTCCTTCAATATTATCAATTCTTGATCATATGTTACCCCTGAAATAGTTGACATTGACCAATTGTTTTTGGTAAAATGACTCTGTGTATTCCTTCCATCTTCTTTTGATATTTCTTGAATTATTCATATTTTGCCCATAGAATTCTTCAATATATCAATCTGAGGCTTGAATTTTCTTCACTTCTTTCAGCTTGAGAAATGCCAAACATATTCTTCCCCTTTGCACATTTCATTATACTTTACTTTATCTGCTGTAGCTTACCTTTGAGATCTTCTGTTCAGCTCTTTTGCTTCATCATTTCCTGCATTTTCTTCAGCTACTTTCCATCCAAGAGCAAGTTTTCAAGTCTCTTCCAACATCCATTTTGTTCTTTTCCTTCTTTCCTCTCTTTTTGATGACCTTTTGCTTTCTTCACATATTGTTGTTGTTAAGTGCCGTCGAGTCATTTCCGACTCATAGCAACCCCATGCACAGCAGAACAAAACACTGCCCAATCCCACGCCAGCCCCACAATCCTTGCTATACTTGAGCCCATCATTGCAGCCACCGTGTCAATCCATCTCATTGAAGGCCTTCCCCTCTTTCGTCGATTCTCCACCCTGCCAAGCATGACATCCTTCTCCAGGGAATGGTCCCTTCTGACAACATGACCAAAATAGGTGAGACGAAGTCTGGCCATTCTTGCTTGCAAGGAGCACTCTGGCTGCACTTCCTCCAGGATAGATCTGTTAGTTCTTTTAGCAGTCCATGATACTTTCAGCATTCTTTGCCAGCACCACAACTCAAAAGCATCATGTTCTTGATATTACACCATAACTCTTCTGGTCTTCCATCATTGGTGTTCAATGCATCAAATATATTCTGCAGATGGTCTTTAAATGCAAAAAGGTAGAAAGAAAACAATATAAAGAAATCAGCATCTGTGAAAATGTCAGCTATTCCATTTATTTAAAAGGAAATACAAGGAACAAAAAATAGTAAGATAGTCATTATAATTAATGCCTGCTTTAATCATGGCTGCTGGTTTGTTATAGTTCTGCAATTTTCATCAAGGAGCCTCTGGCTTTCCACAGCATAACTCAAAATGAGAAGTAAGTTTCAAACATCTATTAATAATTGGAATGTTGAATGTACAGAGTATGAATCTAGGAAAATTGGAAGTTGTAAACAATAAAATGGAAGACATAAAGTTTTAGATCATAGGAGTTATTGAGCTGAAATGGAATAGTATTGACCATTTTTAATTAGACACTCATATGGTCTACCATATCAGTTGCAAGATGTATCCGGAAATGCAATCTTTCTTTAACAGAATTCAAAGCTTAGAGTGACCAATTGTAAACCAACAATGATTCTGTTACCATATGGGAAAAAAAATGTTATTTTCATTTTTCTTTTAAATGAAAATAGCATTTCATTAAATTAGGTAAGTTCAATAATAGATAAATGTACTAATATTTAATTACATGAGAGTGATAAAATACAGGAAGCAAACTATAAATGAAGTTATTATAGTGAGTAAAATGCAAATGAAAACTGGATAATCATAACATATTCATTAAGACTTTGATCATCTGTGTTATTTGTGGAAGATATCCCCCAAATATAAACTACAGTGTAGTTTTCCATGTCCAGGTCATTTTAGCTATTCCTATATAATTCTTAATGCAATTCCAGTTTGTATTTTCATAGAAAAATATACATAAATAATAACTAATTAATTAATTACAGAGAATTCATAAATACTTAGAAAGTTAAATATATTTTGGTAAGAGCTTATATCAATCCATTTTTCCATTTCATACAAATATAAACATAGTGTGATGAATATAAAACTTTTACAAGGAAAGAAATTGCAATCACTAGCATCACCTCATATTTTCTTTATTCACATCATAAAATTTGTGTTATGTTGAATCATTCATCTCACAAGTTAAAGAATTTTTGAGGAAATGGCTTATTATGCTGTTTTGGGAAATATAGTGATATCTACAACAAAAGGCAACTTCAGTGTTTCTATGTGTTAAAGTTTATTTGTCTTTAATATCTCATTCTGACATGAGTTGGATTATTTTCTTTCATCTTTACCTGTGTCTTTTCTGGGTCACATGGCCTCCCCAGGGTCTCTCCAACAGGGAAGACAGAGATGGGTGGGTGGAAATAACATACTTCACTGAGAATCATTGTCTATTGCACAGAGTGAAACATATGGCAGTGACTTAAATTCAAGGAAAGCAGGGAAATATGGAAAATAATAGACATTTTGAACTATATTTTTGGTACATATACTTCATATAACAAGAAACAATCAGACTAATTAAATAGTTACTTTAATAAAAATAGCATCTAGTTAGAAATGAGTGTTAATAAAGATAGCTCTTATTCAATTATATTTATTTTTACAGAGTGCTGAATGAGCTGTCTCCAAGTGATAGTTAAAATACTTTTATAAATGTGAATGAAAAGATGAGTATGGGTGCACAGACATGGCCAAAAAAAAAATAAGAAAAATCACAAAGAAGCATTTACAACAGAAATTCTATTTTTATCCTCTCAATAACTAAGGTATATCTTATAACAGTTTATAAGTGAGGAAGCTGATATGTTGTGATCAAATAAATTGTCCAATCTAATTGCATTAGGTATTGGTGAAATGACAATTAGAATTATAGCACATATAACAATTAAGCAATTTGAACTTGCTACATTGTAAACTATATATTTTGTTAGGGTTGCTATCAGAAGAGATAATTAGAGACATCAGAGACATGAGTATATTTATATAACTGTCCTTATCCTATATGGTAAAGACTTTGTGTCATAAATTTGAACATGCCAGGTAAGAGGATGTGGGATTATAGGCATGATCACTTTGTCTTCGCAATCAGGTTACTTGTTGTTCTCCAGTTAGAAAAATCTTTGAGTATAATACAAATTTTAATCTTGTATTCCCAGGCTTTAGCTTGTAGAATGAATCTGACATTCCATAGTTATACTTATTTACCTTTAACACGATGTCTGCTCCAGATCTCAAAACCTGCTTTGTTCTTTTTTTTTTTTTTTTTTTTTTAAACTGGGTGCCACTGATAGGATTCTGACTCATTATGATCATATATGACAGAATAGACCTGTTCATTCAGGTTTTCAAGACTGCAATATTTAAAAGTGCAACCCACTAAACCTTTTTCCAGTTGATTAATAGGTAAAGTAGGTTCAAACTGTCAACATTTTGATTAGCAGCTCAGTGCTTAACCATTGTGCAACCAGGGACTTAAAGTCCTAAAATTGTATTAAATGATGAGTACAAACCTGGTGAATGTTTAATTTACACAGATTTAACAAAGTGTTATTAAGTCAACTTGTTGTCCCTTTTCAATTTACACAATTAATTTAGCATCAATGGCAAAAAAGAAAACCAATGATACCATTAATGGAAAATTAATAAATAAATAAATAAACAAACAAATTTTTGTGTGAAGATCCACTGACAAGGTTCAGGAATTCTGCTACTGCTGTTGTTATTGTTAGGTGTTGTTGAGTCAGTTGCAGCTCACATCAACTCCATGAAACACTGCCTGGTCCTACCCCATTATCACAATCTTTGCTATGCTTGATCTTTGCACCACTCATCTATAAGTTTGTCATACTGTGGTGGCTTGCATATTGCTTTGATACTGGGAACTATGCCACCAGTATTTCAAATACCAGAAGGTCACCCATGGTGGACTTGTCTCAGAGGAGCTTCCAGACTAAGACAGACTAGGAAGAAGTATGTGGTCAATTTCTGAAAACACTGGCCACTGAAAACTTTATGAATAGCCGAGAAATAAGGCCTTATTTTTATTATTTTTGAACTATTAAGAGATTCCAAAATGCTAATTTCAAACCCAGCAAAGGAAAATGCTGAGAAATGTTGAACCTTAAAATAATAGGTTTTGAAGGCAAAATTAGACATCCAGAACTGCTGTCAAGGTGAGGATAAAGATAATAGGAAATAGCATCTATGCTCTCTCATTTGATTTTTATATTCATACAAGTATCTGGCATTCATGTTTATAACTATTGCCTACTGACTTAGTATGGTTTTCAGACTTTTACCCAATAACACATAAAATCCATTGAAACTTTGTTTTCACATTTTACAATATAATGAATACCCCCATAGGATTTTTCCCAGGGCCTCCATAACATTTATATTCTGAAGACTATAAATCATGGGGTTGAACATAGGAGTGATAATGGTGTAGAAGACAGATATTATTTTATCCTGTCCTGAAGTGTGGGAAGAAATTGGTCTCATGTACATGAAAATCATGGCACCATAATATAGACTTACTACTAAGGCTGGGCAATCTACTTCCGTAGTGATATTGCTGTGGAAATCCAAGGAGGTGTCACTATGAGTCGTGTCCAACTCAACGGCACATAACAACAACAATAATACTGTCAAATGAGAAGAACACATGGAAAATGTTTTTTTTTTTTTCTGTCCCTCAGTGGAAGCCATTTGAAGGATAGTGACCAGGATAAATATATAGGAGGCAAGGATAACTGAGAAGGGAATAAGAAGCAGAATTGTGGTACTGATCAATACCCCAATACCATAGAACATGGTGTCCTCACAAGACAGACTCAAGACTTCAGGAAGTTCACAATAGAAATAATGAATTTCTCTTTGTCTGAAAAAGAGAAATGTCATGATGTAGACTGTACATATCAAGGCATCGAGATAACTACTTGCCCCTGAGCTAACCACCATCTGTCTGCCGAGGGAATAGTTCATGAGGAGACGGTAATGTAGAGCTTTGCAGATGGCAACATAATGGTCATAGGACATGAGGCCTAAGAGCATACACTCACACCCACCAAAAGTTAACTCCAGGAATATCTGGATCCCACATCCAGAAACAGAGATGACTGTCCTATGCAGAAGGTAGTCAGTTATCATCTTGGGGACAATGACAAGTATGAACAGGATGCCTATGAAAGAGAGCTGCCACAGGGGAAAATAAATAGGAGTATGAAGCTGAGGGTCTATCAAGATCATCACAATCAATAGACTGTTTCAAGTTAGAGTGACAATGAATATCAAGCTGATAACTTCAAAGAGACAGAAGTGAGTTGTGGTATATTGAAGCAATCCAAAAAGAATAAATTCAGTGACTCTGTGGTTCTCCAAATGCATCATTCTTGGTGTCTCCTTATAGATAAAAGCAAAAGTACATTAATATGAAGATTATTTCACAATTAATTTTGGTCTTTGGAAGTTAAGCAATTATGGTAGTTAAGCTTGTGTATCAACTTGGTTGGGCCTGGTTGAGTGGATGGGCAGCTGGATGTAGTCATTCCCCATGATGAGAATGGTAATCAACTCCATGGTGGAGTCTCCTGTGAGCATCTGAGTAGCTGCTTTAGGGATGTGGTCTCCTTTCCATATATAAGAAGCAGCTTTGGGAATGGTCTATAGTTTATGGCACATTTGAATCCTGCATGTAGCCATGTTGTTGGTCAATAGCCTGCCATGCTCTGCCGACCTTGGGACTTTTAATGGACTTGAATTAATGGTCTGCCTTGTGGTTTGGTAACATTGGAACTGTGCCTTTTTACTTCTCAACCTTGGGCTTGTCACCCTCAGCAGCCAGCAGCTGTCTGAGTGAAGAAAAACCTCCAGCTTCAGTGGGCCAGGAACAGGAGACACAGCTGAAGCCCAAGGTTGAGGGGCTTTCACCCAGCCACTAGAGCCTGGCACTTTGAACTCAGACTTAAAGCCTCCAAACTGTAAGAGAATAAATTCCTGTTTGTTCAAGTCATTGCACTTGTGGTATATTTTCTGTTAGAGCAGCACAGAGGTGACCAAAACAGAATATGGTACCGAGAGAGTGCGGTGCTGCTCTGACAGTTACCTAAAATGTGGAAACAGGACTGGAGTGCATCCTTGACCTGAGACCCTGGCAGAGAGACCCCAGCATGTGTCATGAGAGAAGGCAGAAGCAGGGCTGAAAGAACCAGCATGAGACAGCAACAGGCTTACCAGCTCACAGGGGAGAAAACTGGGTGCCATTAGGTAGGCAGTTTCCTGGTGCAGGGAGTTGCCTTTGGGCATTAATTGGTAGAAGAGACTGGTATGAGATGGAGTAGCAGTTTGGCCTTCCCACTGAGCAAGAAAGCTGGGTGTCCTTTAGACAGGAAGATTCCAGGCAGAGTGGCTTGCCCTCGGGCATTGACTGGCAGAAGTGGAGAGAACAAGAAAATGAGAAGCAGAGCTGCCTCAGTCTCAAAGGGTAGGACCATGGCCTTTAGGGGTGGAACCACCATACCCCCCCCCTAGGTTTTAAAGTGTTAGACCATCAACAACTTGGTTCTGGAGTCTGGGGTTGCTTGTTCATGTTGGCCAGTGAATGGAGCCATAGACACTGCCCAAGAGTGAGGGGGCAGGGCTACCATGCCCAAGAGGTAGAGGAACAGGGACAACCAATTCAAGGGGGTGAAATCGCCACTCAGGAACTAGGAGATTAGAGCCTCCCCAGTGAAGATCTGTATAGATGCCACCCATTGAAGATCTCTACAGGTGCCAAGTTGACAAGGGGTGGAATTGTGGTAGTTAAGTTTGTGTGTCAACTTGGCTGGGACGGGTTGAGTGCTGGGCAGCTGGATGTAGTATTCCTCACGATGAGACTGGTAATCAACTCCATGGTGGAATCTACTGTGAGCAGCTGAGTAGCAATCTTATGTATGTGGTCTGCTTCCCATATATAAGGAGAAGCCTTGGGGAATGAATGATCTGTAGCTTATGGCAGGCTGACCCTGCATGTAGCCATGTTCAGCAGCCTGCCATGCTCTGCCAACCTTGGGACTTTCAGTGGACTTGAATCAATGGCCTGCCATGTGGTTTGATAGCATCAGGACTGTGCCTTTTTATTTGTCACCTTTGGGCTTGTCAGCCTCAGCAGCCAGAAGCTGTCTAAGTAAAGAAAAGCCTCTAGCTTCAGTGGTCTGGGAGCAGGAGGCAGAGCTGAATCCCAAGTTTGAGGGCCTTTCACCCAGCCCTTAGACCCTGGCACTTTGAACTAGGACTTAAAGCCTCCAAACTATAAGAGAATAAACACCTGTTTCTTCAAGCCATCCCATATGTGGTATGTTCCTGTCAGAGTGGGACTAGATAGCCAAAACAGCAATCAAATTTGTTTTAAATATATTATCTAAAGAATTCGGGGGGGGGGATGTGAAATCAGTAGAAATAAATTGATTAAATGATATTTGTCCTAGTGCCACATGTAAAATAGTCTTAAGCTTACTTTATCTACCATTTAGTGTATTTTGGATACTGGCTCTTTTTTTAAGAAATAGGTTGAATAAAAGTGCCAATTTGCCAGCAGTTTGCCAGCACTTTTGATGATGGATTCTCAGTGGAATATACATAATCACATTGACTTCCTTTGCTTCCTTTCCTCAACAAGTTCCTCTTTGCTTCATAACACTGCTCCCTAGAACAAAGCATAACTCTGTAAGCAACTCATTTGAAAATAAAAGCATGGGATATTGAACGTTATTACAGACATCAGTGCATATTAGTTCTATGTTGGTTACTGTAACTGAATTCTCCTAAATTAATTCAGTTATTTTTGTATATTGTTCTTGCTCCATATACCTCGTTTTCTATATACATTAATGTGTCACATAATATTTGTTCAGGCAACGTTCAACTGAATATCAATCCATGGCCCTATAATATTGTAACAGAGTTCAAATATCCAGATTAAGGCATAGCAAACACAACAATTTCCTGATGAAACACATATATCTCATGCCTCATGTATACAAACTAATTGCACTGCCAGGTGTATAATGGTACAGTACATACATAACCTATAACACATGTGTAGTGATATTTATTACAAATGATTAGGATACTGGCTTATGTATATAATGCATCATACTTTCTAAGTAAAAAAAAATAAATAAAAATACCATACAACAGTGTAGGCTTCCACTCAGGTGGCAACATCGAATCTCATATATCACATGAGTCTTGAGTGTTGTAGTATTATGTCTGTGTTTAAATTTGTTTAATTTTAATTCAAAACTATTCCTACGAAGTACATAATGGTTCCCAAATGCAGCAAAACTTGTGCTATTGATATAAGCAGCCAGAATCAAAGGGGAAATAACAATCTGGAAGTGGAAAAAAAAAGTTACTGCTTTTCAACAGAAGGTGGAAAATTAGTAAATGTTATCATGTGGTTTACACATGTCACATGCAACAGTCATGAACATATTCAAAAACAAAGAAAAAAATGTTGTAGCTGTTAAAAGATCAGCTCCACTGACATCTATAAGGCTAATGAATACAGTTGTATTGTTGTTGTTATGTGCCATTGAGTCGAACCCAACTCATAGCGACCCCTCCTTGGGTTTCCAAGGCAGTTTCACTACAGAAGTAGATTGCCCCATCTTCCTTCCGGGGAGTGGCTGATGGGTTTGAACCACCAGACTTCTGGTTAGCAGTCAAGTGCCTTAGACACTATGCTACCAGAGCTCCCATAATGAATATAGAGAGGGACAGATATCTGATACGGGGAAAATACTAATATAATGGATTAAGGATAAAGAGAAAAGCAAATCCTTCTCAGCACCTTGACAATCACTGTTAAAATTTGAGCCTGGGAAATATGCTTCAAGAAAAAAGGAGACACAACTATGATACTATATTGGCACAACATCCAAATCACAGAATTTCCTATTGCACAGAACATACTGTGGATTTTAAGTGATGCACACTGTATACAATGACCATTTCACACTAAGATTTTCTCACAAATGATGCCCAATATTATTTGTTTTTTGTCCACTCATTCAACATTCAAGAATAAATTGGAGTATGAGAAATATCCTTATGATTGTTTATCTCTAGTGATAAATTATATACTGGGTGCCTGGGGTTCACTTGAAGAAATTCTCTACCTGGTGAAGTTCCACAGTGAAACCTGTATCTTCATTCCATCACAGGAAGACTAAGATTTGTTTCAATATATGCAACTGCTCCTCACCTCCTGCTAAGGTTCAAATTCTTCAGACTGGCAAGAAAATTATTCAATAAATGGCTCTAAGCCTTTCCTTTAAAAGTACAGCAAACTGAGTAATATTATAAAAATGTTTAAGACTTTATTATTAGAAACCAACTATTTAGTTAAATTACTTTTTCTATATAATTTTTCAACCACTTTGTTGTTTAAGGTGCATAATAATGTATGCATTATTAAATCTCAAATTATAAAATGAAGTTCTGATGATTTGAGAAGTTAGAAGGAATATTTGGGTTACAGCATATCAAATAAAAAATATATTTTAACTAGAACTTTTCAATAACAGATGTGCTCTGTAACTGTAGGTGTCCTTGTAGGTGAAAGTTTAATATAATATTCTGGATGATTATATCAGACTAAAACACCATGAAACAGCAGAATAAGCAATAGATAACTATTATCATGACAAATATAAGCAGAAAAGAAATAAATAAAAATAATTGCAGCAGAAGTTACAAATGTTATGTAAAATAGCTGAGCATCTGGACACTGAAATAAAATGACCAGAGGACATTCAGTGTGTGTTCAACAGCTTTTCCCTTTAGCAGATGTTGTGATTTCTGATTTACTGGAATTAAACGAGTTGGCCAAGTGATTCTAGTAGGATTTCTATGTAAATATAAATCTCATGCTGTAGGAAAAATATGTAAATCTTTACATAGATATAGCTTTGCTCACAGATTTGCCCATTCTGATCCCATCACTTTTCCCCACTTCATTACTTCCTAAATAGCTATGAAAATCCTCTAAAATTGTAGTCTAAGCACCACTTTATGCCATACTGAGCACTCTATGTACCTGTGAAGTCACATTTCTTTATATCCTATTGAACTATGGTTGCTATCGTTACTATGACCTTTAACGTTTTCTGTCCCATCATACTTTATGCTTTTTGGTGAAATTTTTTTTATTTATGTTTATGTTGTTGTATGTTGTTATGTGCCATCGAGTCAGACCTGACTCATAGCGACCCTTCCTTGGGTTTCCGAAGCAGTATCACTACGGAAGTATATTGCCCCATCTTCCTTCCAAGGAGTGGCTGGTGGGTTTGAACTGCCAACCTTTTGGTGAGCAGTCAAGTGCCTTAGGCTCCCCATTTATGTTT